TCCCAGGTTAGGTAAATGTTCTCTGTGTTTATTTGGTAGAGCTGAGCAGGCATTTTTGCTGAGCCGCATGCTGGGAAAAATTAGCCAAAACATTTTCTCCAGAGTTTCTTCTGATTCACTGTTTCCTTTCCTCTAGCCCTTCCAAAGTTCCTCCCTTCCAAGTCTACTTACTGACCTGCAATTCAAATTCATTATAAAAAAATTCGGTAGTCTTACTAAGAAAAAACAGGCTGGGTAATTTGTTGCTTTCCAAATGTCTAGTACAGTACTTCTACACATGCACATCTCTAAATCTGTGGTGTTAAGCTTATTGCACATTACAGACCTTTTATTTTTCAGTCCTCTGTCTACTCTCAGTTCAGCTTTTTTTTTCGTGTATTGCTCATTCCTTGATCCCATGGCATGTATCATGTCAAGTGCAATATCTGCAGTCTTTCCTAGGGCACAGGGACCTCTGAGTGAAGTCTTTAGTATGATGTCATTCACTAACATTTTTAAGAGCATACAACATCATTGTTCTAAAAAGTCTGTTTTCTCTGAATCCCAACATTTGGACTTGGCTTCGTTTCTTGGGAGGCAATCTCTTCTTCTGACACGTGGAGACTCAGAACCTCTCTTCCACCATAAAATAAACAGAAATGTGACTACCAGAGCTTTCTGCAACAGGAAAAATAGCTCTTACATATACAACGGCACAAAGTGGATCAGGACTGCTTGCCACTAATATTAACCCTTCCTTAAAAGAAATAAAAAAGTATCGAGGTAAGAAGACCTTGGCCAAACACACAAAGAGACAAGCTTCAGAACTCACGTGGAGAAACAGAAGCTGGACAAGTCACTGCTGGGAAGCCACCGCTGGAAGCTAACCTGACCATCTCAGGAGAATGATGGTTCCTTTCTCTATGCAAAGCCACCCTCTCTGCACATGTGCTCAAGGCACTTCTTAATCCTCTTACTTCAGATGAGAAGGCATTAGATGGTGCGTTAGCATGTGTTTAAGCATATTGAAACAACTGCAAAACGCACCAGCGTGGAACGTGCTACAGAAAATATTCATTAGGGGAAAAAATGGGAGCCGTGAAGGATGAGCTGATGACACAAGTCGTAAAAATTTTCTCCAATAATTTGTTTGAATCTGTACTTCAAATACAGCTCCTAGTATTGTGTGTGCCTGTTAGAAAATGAAAAACTGAGAAAACAGGATTATAAAGCCATACCTAAACATGAGGGTATTAGTGAAGTGGGTTAGAACAGGAACACATGCCTGGAAGAAAAGCACAGGGAGAAAAGCTGGACAGCATCTGCAAATGATCGTAGTTTATCTAAATCAAATGAGGCCACTGTGGCCAGAGCCGTATCAAATGTCAGTTCAGGCAACTGAGCACTGCACACTGTTTCAACAGAATGGAGTAAGAGCATAGCCTACCTGTTGAATAATACCTGTTCTGCTTTTGGCTGGGATAGAGTTAATTTTCTTCACAGAAGCCAGCATGGGGCTATGTTTTGGATTTGTGCTGGAAACAGTGTTGATAACATAGGGATGCTGTTGTTATTCCTGATGGATGCTTACAGAGACTCAAGGCCTTTTCTGCTTCTCACCCCACCCCACCAGCAAGTAGGCTGGGGGTGTACAAGAAGCTGGGAGGGGACACAGCTGGGACAGCTGACCCCAACTGACCAAAGGGATATCCCATACAATATGGTGGAATGCTCAGCATATAAAGCTGAGGAGAGAAGAAGGGGGGACATTCAGAGTGATGGCATTTGTCTTCCCAAGTAACCTTTACGCGTGATGGAGCCCTGCTTTCCTGGAGATGGCTGAACACCTGCCTGCCGATGGGAAGTAGTGAATGAATTCCTTGTTTTGCTTTGCTTGTGTGTGCAGATTTTGCTTTCCCTATTAAACTGTCTTTATTTCTCACTTTTACCCTTCCAGTTCTCTCCCCCATCCCGCTGTGGGGGGAGTGAGCGAGCGGCTGTGTGGTGCTTAGTTGCCGGCTGGGGTTAAACCATGACAACACCTTTTATTATTTATCTAAAACCAGTCAATTCAAGATGATCCTATAGATTTGTTAGTTAGTAATACCAAGTGAGAGGCCTCCATGCAAGTCCCAGCTTCCAGTGTTTATTTAGATCCATCAGTGTAAAAGCACTGATGCTACACTTAAAATTATATCCACAGGATAAGAACTTTAAACTTCTCATTGAGAAGACGTGGAATTAATTGAAAAGTTTGTGCTGTTTATTACCAAGGTCCAGGTCATGCCACAGTGATTTTTTCATGTGTAAAACAGGAAATCTCCGCTATCTCTCATTCTTAACGTTCAGGCAAAGGTGTATCCTTGAACTTAATGATGTCATTTAGTTGTCTTGTTCTGGCAGACTAAAATAAAGCATGGAAATAACAAAGACACAACAATATTTTATATTCTCTTGCTCTTAATAAATTTACAATGTACATTGAAATACAGTTTGGCAACCCTAGATAAAGGAGATAATAATAAAAATGTGCCATTACATATCAGCTTTTGCAAAGTTTATTCTGTTATTGAGGGCATTCTCTGCAGAGAAAGGCTGTATAAAAAAGGGTCTACTGGATGTCTACTGAGAAACAATATTGCATTAGCCCTTAAGTCCACTTAATCCATTTGGAAACTGGGCAATTAAAAAATTAGCTTAGATTATTGCCGTGCCTTTCCAATGTTTGTGGATTTACAGGAGCACCTTTCATATCAAAAAAAAAAAAAAAAAAAAAAAGGGTTTTTTTTTTTTTTTGAAAGAAAAAAATGCATTCCAGGGAACAAGGTGTTTCTGATGTCTTTTCCCAAGAATACAGACACCCTTCTGATGAGTGAATTTGTATACATAAAAATTTTCAAATTCCATGAGGAAAAGCAGAAAAATACTTATACTGCTCATCTGGTAATTTAATGCTGCTGTTATCACACTCTCTCCTTAATAGCTCTTCATGACAGGAGAATTCCTTCAGGTTGGCTATTGTATCTTTTGGGGAATTAGGACAATGGGGCCCTGGTCTAATGTGCATCACTTGCTTTGAACACGTTAAATAATAAAAGACAAAGATACGAAGTATACATTGGAAGCAAAATTTTAAGCTGATTGGGAGCCTTGAAGATGCTGATACATGCATTTCCCCCTCCAATCAACCAGCTCTGCTCATCAGCTCAGGAAGGTGCTAGAGTCCCTCCTCCTTTGCTGTGGTCTCTGCCACACCTCACACACACCTCCGTGCAGAGGTTGCTTATCTCTGGTTATTTGCCCTGCTCTTGTTAACTCTGCTGGGTCCACTCCCTGTCTGGCCCTGAAAGGTTATAGCTGTAGCTTCAGAAAATAATTTTTAGTCAGCTCTTTTAATAATTAATTGCAACGTTCACCCTTAAAGTGCAATGAAGGGAAACCATACACAGGGGGCAACATTTGTCTGCCAAAAAAATATTGCAGACCTTTTTTTTTCCCTGACACTGAGAATGATAATAAAATTCCCCACATCTGAGTTCTCACACCTCAGGGAAATTATGTTCTCCTAAATGTATCTGACTTGTAGAGTATGGATATTCTAATGTGTGTTTCTGGGGCGGAGGTGGGGGGAAGCCTTTGCAAGAGAATCAGCACCACTTTCTGATTTTTCTGTATTAGTTATATTTTGATTTTTCAGCAATCTAAGTTTTATCTTTGTTCTGTTCTTTGGAGCTGCTCACAATGTACCTCCTAGCAGCCATACATCTGGTTTGGAAACAGAAATATTTTCCTAGGGTAGCCCCTTCTTGTCAGGATGTGACAAATACCTGTTATCGTACACAGTATGGTCACTTGTGCATCACATATACAATAACTACATGTGCAATATATGTCTGCTAAGTGCGCTATCACACAGTACACCACTGTTCAAATATGTTGCATTAGTAAGGACTGACCTAATTTCAAAGCTACCCACACAAAATCAGATGGTTATATCAAACATTACCTTCTAAGACACTGTTAGAGTAGCCACATTTTACCTGGCTGCATATTAATTTCAAAGCCAAACTATCAAGTACTAAGATGAACTGAGACAATTAGTGTCATGAATCCAACATTTTGTAAAACATATTACAGGTGCAGAAACCTAAAGAGACCTGACTATATTGTTTAAATTTTCATTGTATAATCCAATTAATTAAGAAGTTCCAAGAACAAAGAAGACTTTTCAGTTTAATGTAACCTTTTTTTCACCAAAAAGTTGATTCACTATCTTTTGTTTTCCAGTTACAAATGCCTCTAAAACGGCTTCAGTGGGACACGCAGTAGTAGTGGTACTTTGTGTGCTAAGATTAAGAGCCGACCACTGTCTATAACCCCAAATAATTAATAATTATCTCCTAGGAAAGCACACTCAAAAACCTTCAAAAGCACCTTCAAAACTGTGCCACTTGGTTTAAACAAAGAAACAAAAAATCATCATCAGAAAGTTTCACTGATGCTGTCTTCACTGCCAGTCTTTCACTGACCCTGTTCCTACGTACAGCTTTCAACAAACCAAGATAATTTTTGTCCACTTGCATACTGTTGCACTTACAAGTTGGTCTCAGTAGTACTGGACCTTTGGGTACTTCCTAGGGACTAGATGACCCCAAAGAACAGATAGCAGAGGACTGCTCACAAAGGAACACACCTTCTTCATCCCTGGAAGTTCACGGCTTCATTTTTTTAAGACAAGGCAAACTGAAGCACAGATAATATCCACCATCCCTTACTCCCTTTTTACCCCACCCCACCCCCCCCAGACCCTTCTCGCCATGTAACCATGCCGAACTGGAGTACAAGACACACCATTTCGGTATCTTCAGGTACTCGCAAAGGGGTTTTAAAGGTAGCAGGGAAGCTAATTAACAGTAAAGTTGGGACCATTTCCGAATTAACTTTCCAGCAGCGGCGTCTGCAGCCCTCCGGACAGATGCTGAGCGGCAGACACCGGTTCTCAAAGCGGGCTGTCACCTTACCTTAAGAAGTCTGACGGAGGGGAGGAAGGCGGCATGGCACAGCTTCCGGATGGTCCAGTTGAGTGGCCGCGGAGCATCGGTCTGATTCATGACCCTCCACAAATCCCACCGGGAGACAGATCAGCCGCAGAC